AAAAAGTCTGGAGCCAAACGATTACTAGAACTCCCCGACGATTACATTCATGAGACTGCACCTCTCCTTCCAGCCTCCCAGGAGTTTCAGGCCAAGCAGCACCGTACAGCAAGGACAGGATGCGAATCTTTTGTGAACCGGGCGCGATTGCCGAGAGGTTAGAACTTGATCATGCTACAACCACTGTCCACAGCTGACTTTGCCAGCTTTGTTCAGGTCCAGCATTAATGATCATCAATCCCGCATGAAAAAGGGGCCGGGCCGGGTGGGCCGCACGAAGCGACCCTGATTTCTGACTGGAGCCCATTTGGCCACATTTCTACCGTTCATTTAAACAATTGATATCAGTTGATACTGGAACTCATCACTTTTCGGTTTCTGCTGACGAATGCATCACCTTTCACTGAACAGTTCGTTCATGAATAATTGTCCATTCCGTAACACCCCGACGCTTACATTCGATACTAAGGGCCCCCGACATTTAATTCTGTACTAAAACTCCCCGACGATTACATTCGGTACTAAAGCCCCCCGACAATTACGTTTTGTACTAAAACCTCCCGACAATTACTTTCTGTACTAAAACCTCCCGACAATTACTTTCTGTACTCAAACCTCCCGACAATTACTTGCTGTACTAAAACCTCTCGAAAATTACTTTCTGTACTAAAACCTCCCGACAATTACATTCTGTACTAAAGCCTCCCGACAATTACATTCTGCACTAAACCCTCCTGACAATTACATTCTGCACTAGGACCCCCCAACGTGACCTCTTCCCACAGTGCCGCATAAAAAAAAGAACCCTTAGCATAAAAAAAGAAACCATTAGCATAAAAAAAGAAACCAGGAGCATAAAAGAAAGAACTGCAAGCATAACAGAAAAAACCATTAGCATTAAAAAAAGCACTATAAGCATAAAAAAAGAAACCCATACCCTAAAAGCACACCAACCCCGCTGTGAGCATAAGAAAAAAAACCATTAGCATAAAAAAAACACCCAGCCCAAATGACAGACCAGGATCAGGCAGCTTCACTTGCAAGCGTCAAAGCGTTTGCCTCGCCTCAAAGCATTCGCCTGCAATTCGTGCGATCTCCCAATTGCGAGCATCTCTTTCATGCGTCTCTGTCGCCACATTCGGTGGTGCTCGTCGCATCTTCTGAAGCAGGCGAAGCTGTCACCCCACTCAACCAGAGAGAAAGGTGTTGAATCATGAAAAGGGTGCAAATGAGTCTGCGATTTGTCGAGAGCACACTACTGCAAAGCTCACTTCGGAAGCATGAGTCATGCTTCATGACAAAACCTGGTATTGGCAATCAGATTTCCCACCCCGCTCCTGTGCGCAGAAGAACCGAACAAAGTCATCCAATCTGAAGGAGCAGATACAAACCCTCCATACAAAACCGTACTCTGGCTGACCAGCCACTTGTCCGATTTATCCACTATGATGGTTGGCAAACTTTTTGAACTGACACAAATGCAATCCATTGTCTGGCTTCAACTTTGCTTAAGACCAAGCTGCTCATTGCTGGGTGGAGTAGTTTTGCAAACCCTGGGCTATCTGCAGCCAAATCATGCTGACAAATAGTAACTCAAGTACTCCAAGAAGGCAAAGGCAAGTGAGTTTGGGAACTTACATTGAATAAATGAATCTGAGGAACTGAAGTAGGAGTTGCCAACCCAGCCACTCAGAACGAGGAGATGGATTCCCGTTCAGCTGCCTCACCAAGGTCAGCTTGAACCGTGGAACAAAAGAGGAGGTAGTGAACTTAGGTAACCTGTGCACCAAACATCCCCAATTAGGACAAGTATCACCGTCCCAAAACAATAAAGTTGTTTTTTCAAGCAAATCTATCCCTGCTTAGATGCTTGAGAAGTTGGGTGAAGACCTCGTCTCGCATCAATGGATCGGAGCTTACCTCAGCCCACACTCTGCATGCTACCCACCGGACTCACACGCTCTTGGCCGATTCGTGTGCTTTGGTAGATCCTTTAGCACACACATTGTATCAACTGGCATACGTGGAATGAAACATCAATCCATCAACCGATCTGCTCAACAAATCCTCTAAGAATGAATGTAATGAATTTGGCACTGGATGGCACTGGTATTTTCTGTGCATTTATGTTGTGAAGAAAATGTCTGGCAAGATGCAAGATTCACAACGCTCTCACGGCCTTTGCAACAGCAAGCAATGCACCAACACAGAAGGCCAGAAATGCTTAGCATTCCTGCATGAGCGACTAAACCAAGCGGTGGACTTGCAATGCGCTGGCATTCTTGTGCAGGACGGTCTCCCATCCAAATCACAATGTTCCTGAAATTTTGCACCGCCATTGCCTGACGTTTGCATCGGGTTATGCATTGAGTTTCGCAATGCATACCATTCAAAGCACCTCACGAGATTTTGGCAAATGGGTCAGAGATTCGGCAATGGTGACCTCACGGGAAAAGTCAAGCAAACTGGGTGTCAACGGTGTCAACATGTTTCCAGCATGGAGTTTTCCGAGCTCAATAGAGTTTTCCAGCATGTTTAAACATGACACATGGAGCCTTGGAATGACCCAGCATGCTGCCGCTGGGGTCAACCTCAACATGCTGCAGCAAGCTATTCCGGTGACCTTTCCACGTGCCTGCAGGGATCACATGACCCCACACTGATTCATGCAACAAGTCTTAGACAACCTGTAACAACTTGTTGCTATTAGGTTGGAGGCCATCGCTTTTAGGTTGGAGGCCATCGCTAGGCCAGGCTAGTAGAAAGGAAAAAAGGAAGACAGGTTCATAGACAATCTGTAACAACATTTTGCAGTCGCCTTGCCTTCGTTCTTCAATTTGGAAAAAGAGCTGAGGTCGCCGAAGGGTTCACAGGCTTGGATCTCTTCTGCATTCACCTTCGGCCAGTTAAATTGTCCAGTGCAACAAATCAACAAACTCTCAGAAATGGAGGAAGGCAGGAGGGAAGAACGACGCAGAATGTGTTTCCTGCTTCAACACCTTCAGTGCCAGCGAGAATTCCAATAGATTGATCCCAATTCCTCGCCTTCACGACAGATTGCCTCCGCAAGTCAAAGGCACCAGCTATACTTCTGCTTCGCTGACGGGTTCCCTGCCTGACAGAAGCATCTCCCCAGCATCTGGTTCAATAAACGACTTGTTTCAAAAGCAAATGCTCAGTGTTAAAGAACGTGACAAGAGCTAAAACCAAGGCTATTTGTTCTCAATCTTTTGCAAAGGCTGCTTATTCTGTAACAGTAATTTTGGACACAGCGGCTGTGCCCCACGGGTTGCTGCCCGTATAAGTTCAGCATCTCCATGCAAGACTCGAAGCTGATGGGATAAATTTTGTAAACGTTGCCTCAGGTCTAGCTACTAGCTCGGGCATATTGCTGACTGAACCTTTTTGAATCACAGTCTGACACTTCGAGTATTGCTGCGAACTACAATTTCCAATTTCGTCTGCAGCCCAAGTACAAAGCATTTCGAGGTGGGCATTGCCCCTGTACAAAACGTGCGCTTGTGATGTCAGTGGGTGGAAGAGATGAGACGGAGAAAGGTTGTTTCAATTAATTGGTTGTATTTAGTTCGAAACAAAGGTGTAGCATATAATATAGCTTGGTTCACATTCTCTGCTTGGCCTTGACCTCTTTCAAGACCTCTTCCACGGCGCCGCGAAGGAATGATTCATCTTGCAAGTTGCAAAGAAGCTTGTGGTGCTCCTGGCAGCATGAAGTTCTCTTCAGAACAAGTGCAGCACACATCATTTGCAGCAGCAAGATCAAAATCTGTGCACGTCGAAATTCGACAGTCTTTCACTGACATTCCGACAGAAGCAATTCAGTTCTGTGACCATGATAAAAATATGTCCTGAAGGTCTGCCTCATCAATACCATTTCGAATGGCCTCGCCCAGCAAGTAACCAAGCCGTAGTCAAAGTGCTGAGTCGCCAACGCTTGTCACTTGAAACAGGATGGAGTTAAATTAAAGTATGACCCAACCACTTATGCTTGATGCATTGTTCTTGTTGATCTATATATTACAATTTGCAAATGTGTTTACAAATAAATGTTAAAAAACATACACCACAGCAAATGGATGTCGACATCCGCTTCTGACCTGCTCGAGCAGCTGCTCCATCACCACAGAGTCCAGCTCTTCTGCTGCGCGTTCGAGGCTTGCCTTGGAGTTTGAACGATGAAATGGAGCGAGTTTGAACGATGAAATGGAGCGAGTTTGAACGATGAAATGGAGCGAGTTTGAAATGTCCTGAATCTATTGATACCCATTGTCCACTTCCATTTCATTGTCTATTCGCCTCTTCCATTTCTTTTTGGTTTTCTTTGTCAATTAGCTTTTCTGTACGCCTTTAGACCTTCCTTTTGCAGGGAGTGGTAGGCCCAACAAATTCCTTCAAGGATCTGGGTCTTTCTGTCTCCCAATAATCTACAGTATATGTAATAATATGATTCTGATGTGTTCTTAAATGTGTCGTTCCTTTCAATCCTTTAATCAAATGATTTGCAGCAAATCCATGCAATTCCTTGAAGTAAGCGTGTCTGAACCAAATGCTGCCGTAGCGCAAGGAGCTGCAATTGCTGAGCATCACTAAATCCTGTGGATGAGTGTGACCGGCAGGACTTGTGACCCACTTGAGTCCCGAGACTGGCAGCGAACATGTCAATTGTTGCAATGTGTGCGATATGTTTGTTTGCTAATAGAATGTTCGGTACGAAAAGAATGAAATGCAAATGTACATGATCATTTCCCTTGTTGTTTACCCAATAACCCTTCAATCTTGATCAAGCTCCTGTAAAGGTCTGCCGCCGTGAACTTCGATATGCAAAGGACCTTTTTGCACGGGAATGCTCTCATGCTCTTCAAGCAACAGCAGCGCTAGATGCAAGACTGAAGCGAACCACCAACACGAACGCTGCTTCGTTGAGTCTTTGAGGAAGCATCTCTTCACTCGAAGAGCTGGCCTCCTGATCTGAGGTATAGAAGGTCCGGCTGGCGCGCCATCCGTGTCCTTTGTCTTTGCATCCCTTTGCATCTTCGAGACCTGCTCCGCCAAGGCTTCCATCTCCAACTCTGGCAGCCAACCTTGCTAGAAAAATGCCCTGTAGATCTCTGTTGTGATTCTAATACACCGAACATGGATCAATTTTGCTAGGAAGAGGATGTCAGCAATGGAGTGATTGATGGGGCGCGTTCAAGCAGCACACTTGACTGCTCCAGTGTAGCAACCCATACCAATAGCATCCAGTAGCCTATCTATATAAACCTTTGTTGACCGATTGCCGATGGCAGCACAAAACTCAATCATGATTGTGTACACACCCATTGGCAACTACCAGTGGCAGCCAAAACGAGAGCTTTCAGCTTTCCAAGGGAAGTGTTGGCTCGAACGCCCATGGTCAAGGCAAACATCATAGAAAGCAATATCACATTGAACCATTGGGTAGCATCACAAAGGCAAAAGGGAAGCCAGTGGAAGAAGAGGAGACAAAGTGGCCTCGAGAAACACCTAACACTGTAAACGACTGCACATTTGGAAAATTGACCCTGAGTCTTTGAGAAATAAGAAGAATCCAGCATTGTTCTAAGCCGTCCTCAAGAACAATTCCGCATTTTCTCCAATCATTTCACACAGCTGATTGCAAGCCAGCTGCTCTTTGGCCTGAGATCCAATCCTTTCTTTTCAACCTTCGCATGTTCACTCCAACTTCTGGGTCGAGGGGATAAGGAAATGCAAACTTACTTGACAAGTTGTGACATTCCTTTTTGCGCGGCCTCTTCGACAACTCGAGCCAGTTGGCTTTCGTCATTACTTTGCACTGCTGACCGCATGGCCTTCAGAACTCGGCACTCTGACAAGTCAAGAAGAATGAGATGCAGGAAGGTAGACCGGTATAGAACACCTCTTTAAAGGAGACCTCACCTTCCTTTTTCAGATATGTTCATATGATTTCGTGTGGTCCTTAACTTTTCTTGTTGCTCCATCTTGTTGTTTCTTTTCATACTCACTCTTTTCATCTCGTTTCCTTGCTGTCTTGGTGTACAATTCACTTCTTTCTACCCGCTCAATCAAAAGAACACTTGGCCCAAAGATCTGCCTCCTGCAAAGGAATCTGAGTTTGCAACGCCTTCCGCTGAGCATTGTCCCAAGATGATCGCTCGCCATGGATCAGAATGCGACAGAGCATCATTTGTTTCATTCTGTGTGGCACAAGACGGCCTTTCCGTAAACGAGAACATGCCCCGCCTTGCAACGACTTTGCAGCTGCGAGGTCAAAGGTGACTTTGGCAACCTGAGCCCTTCAGCCTGAAGGTTCAGCTGTCAGGGTTTGAGCTCCATTCTTAAGGGTTTTTCGCTGCGAAATGCTCCTTGCAAATTCGGCCCGTTTGCGCCGCACTCAACCCTACAGTGGACAATTGTCCGAGCTCTGTGCCCTTGCCAATGCTTTTTCAATCTCCATAGCATCAGTGCTTTTCTCCTCAGTGGAGTTAAACAACAAAAACTATTCTGACTCAGGTGAACAAAAATGTGCAAGAGCGTCAAACGTGTCTGCTGTTTGCAAAACAAAATCTTGCAACTGCTGCTTCCTGAGATGAACACTAAACGTTCCAAATGCTCCACGCACTGAAGTTCCTCCCATTGCTACGTCAGAAATTGTTCAGTAAGGCACTTTGTTACTAGTAGCTTCTTGCTACTAGTAGTAATAGTAGCGATGCCCTTGTTACTAGTAGCTTATGTGGCTCCAGTTCCACAAGCGTTGCGCTTGCACCCATCCACTCTGGGCTTGGCTCCTTGGCCAATTGCGCAGACACCGCCTCAACTCGCAACTTAACACTGCGCTCCGTGGGCCCTGAATCAAACATCTACAGAACCAAATCCAACTTGAAACAACACATAATTAAAGCAATACTGTGTGTATGTGTGCATGATTGTATGTTTTTTTACGTATCTACATGGTTCTTTTAATATATGATTTACAGATTACATATGCCTCCGACGGCGAACATTGGAATCCCTGGAAGACATGTAACATTGGAAGTGCACCTGAGCCGTCTCGCGAAGTCGCTCTGAGCTGGGAAAGTTTGGCCTCGGCAGGCAGCAGGATCGGTCGACTGCACAACTAGCTGACACAGTAGCTGCTACCAAATGCACTGCTACCAGTACCTTCCTTCTCATTCAAACAGCTGCACATGCCGTTGCAGGCCATTGCTTAGGTATACCATCGCTACTAGGGTGGAGGCCATCACTACTAGGGTGAGTGGAAGTGCGTGGGCTAAGACACTGATATGGCAAGCTGCCCGCCACAAAAAATATCAAAAAAATCCTGAAACATGTCGGTCTGATTTGCCACGGGTGCCTGAAAAAATATCGGCCCTGAACTTGCAAGACTGTCTTGAAGATAGCTGGTAGTTTGTCATTATGTCAGCCCCATAAATCCATAAATTACATTTTACATGCTTTACCATGCATCTTTACAAACTCCCTGGTCAAGGGCTCAGGTGATCCAAGCAGTTGCATACAATGACCTCTAGGACCTCCTCTCATCACATGTCATAAGACTTGAAGATTGCAATATTGCCACCACCTGCACTGGGGGAAGTGACCCAGCCAAAGAACTTTAATTACAAACCTTGGTCCACAATCTGCTGGAAAATGCGAATGGCCCCAAATTTGGAACGTGTCAGGAAACAAACTAAGCACGGAGCCGGCTCTGCACACAATCCAAGAAACTGCTTCCGTGCCAGGGGCCAAGCAACGCGTTTACTGCTTGGAGAAGCTCTTCCACGTAAGTCTTCGCCTGAAGCCCGCTGAACTCGCTCGTTGTTTATCCTGACATCATAATGCATGCATCTCCTTGGGACTTTGTCGCATCTCCCACACGTCTGACAATGAGGCCCAGAATAGAACCTCTCTCACCCAAATCTGAGATTGATTCCGCTGGCCCAAGCTTTTCCAAAAGGGTGCAGGACCTGTGCACAAGGGGCTGTTAGTCAACGAAGGCTTCCCTTGCAAACCTTGCCTCTCGTCGATGTCATTCGACTTCCCATCCCAGCCGGCCCGCCTCAAACATTGGTCAATCAGTTGAGAAAGTTTCTCAAAGTCTGCTGTGCTCCGCTCATTGATGTGTGCTCTGCTGCGCTATCAACGACCCAGCTCGAACGCCGAACTCCGCTGAGCTCATTCCGAGCTCCTGTCCTCAAGCAGTTCTTCAAGGCCACAGTTGCAGGGCTTGCAGCTGCGAAACACTTCCGAGCTTGCCTCGACGGTGTTCAAACATAAGCATACACAAGCCATGTATCTATGCTCTATTTATTTGTTCAATTGTTGTTCATTGTTTTGCAAATATGTTCGATGTATCTTTGTGCGCGTTTCAGGTCATCGGATGGGAATAGGCCTGGGATGCCGTTCAGTGCTTCCAGAGACACGAGGTATCGTTATGTAGTTTGCAGTCATATCAATATGATGAGGTTTGGCGCAGTGTTTGGCGCCCTCAAAGGCGTTTCACGTGTGTGTGTGAACCCCATGTTGTGGCAAGAAAATGCACTACACAGGCTGTGGAGCTGGGGGGCCGCAAGCGTCAGGCAGTATCACCCAACTGCTTTCGGAAGCCTGGCTTTGATCGCTGCCTGGAGTCTGGTGGCCATCCGGAGGCGCCTCAATGCAGGAATCTCAAAGATATAGTCACTTAGTGCCTTCAGATAGCTCCAGGATTCATCCTTCATCCAGTTTGCTACTCTTTTCTGCCAGCAATCCTGTAGCTCAGTGGTTGAACAGGTTTGGAGTGGTTTGGGCTAGTAATTTCTGACTGTCCAAGCCGTACACGCGCAGGCACGAGCCGCTTCCAGCTGGTCCAGGACCGATGCCTGGAGCAGTCGTATGGGACAGGCCGGCCGCGGGCAAGCGTGCTGTGATGACAACATGCAGTTGGTGACCCTCTCTGCCCAAGCAAGTTCCCAATTGAAAACACTGTATGATATTATTCTGATCGTACGATTATATAATATATATATATATATATCGTGCAAAACCGGGGGGCACAGCAGTGCCGTTGGTCATAAAATCTACACTTTGAAGTCAACAAAGCACTGTGCCAGTCAGAAATCTGCACATTCGCGGCTGCGCCACCCATAAAATCTACTGCACTTCGAAGCCCAAAGAGTTCTCCAGCTGCCACAAAGTCTGCACATCGATGTCCACAAACTGGTGTGCCACAAACCTCCGATTTCCATCACGCAAAGCGGACTTAGGACCATCAAGCACAAGGAATCTTCCGCTTGCCACGAAGAGTGAACTCCAAGTCCCAAAAGTGTGCACCTCCCAAACCGACTTCCTTTGACGCACCAAATTCTGCGAATGTGCAAGGGTTCTGCCCTTCCAAGATTTTACGAGTAAGGGGAACTGTGGGAGCCTGCCCAGACTCCAGCGTGACAAAAAAGAGGCATTCTCGACATGATGTAAGGTCCCGCCTTTACTACCGCAAGAACCCTACCGTGGCGGGACAGAAAAGTCCGGGGGTGCCAGGGACGGTGGGGAGACAAAAGTGCGAGGTCTTGCTGGGGGTTGGTAGAGGTAGTGGTAGTGGTAGTGGTAGTAGTCGTAGTAGTCGTAGTCATCGTAGTAGTCGTAGTAGTCGTAGTAGTCGTAGTAGTCGTCGTCGTCGTAGTAGTAGTAGTAGTAGCAGTAGCAGTAATAGTGATAGTAGTGATAGTAAAAGTAGTAGTAGTAGTAGTAGCAGTAGCAGTAGGAGGAGGAGGAGTAGCAGTAGCAGCAGCAGTAGTGGTAGTCGTAGGAGTAGTAATAGTAGAAGTAGAAGTAGGAGTAGGAGCAGACGTAGAAGTAGAAGTAGGAGAAGTAGAAGTAGAAGTAGAAGTAGTAGTAGTAGTAGCAGCAGCAGCAGCAGCAGTAGTAGCAGTAGTAGCAATGGTAGCAGTAGCAGTAGCAGTAGTAGTAGCAGTAGTAGTAGCAGTAGTAGTAGGAGCAGTTGTAGTAGTAGCAGGAGGAGGAGGAGTAGCAGTGGCAGCAGGAGTAGTAGTAGTAGTAGTAGTAGTAGGAGTAGGAGTAGGAGTAGCAGTAGTGGTAGTGGTAGTAGTAGTAGTAGCAGTAGTAGTAGTAGTAGCAGGAGCAGTTGTAGTAGTAGCAGGAGGAGGAGGAGTAGCAGTGGCAGCAGGAGTAGTAGTAGTAGTAGTAGTAGTAGCAGTAGTAGTAGGAGTAGGAGTAGGAGTAGGAGTAGCAGCAGTGGTAGTGGTAGTGGTAGTGGTCGTAGTAGTAGTGGTAGTGGTAGTGGTAGTGGTAGCAGCAGCAGCAGGCTCGTGTTGGCCCATCTAGGGCCCATCTTGCAGCGGTGTTGCCGCGTTGTTGCTGCAGGCAATAGAATCCGCCGACCCCAGCCTAGCCGCAGCCTAGGCGGGAGGCGCCTGGGACACCGCAGGGTGCAACCTTGGCATTGGCATCTCCACCTTTGTGGCTTTAGCGCAGGCCACAGCTAGTCTGAAGCCATGCAGCCTACAAACCCTCCATTGGGGAGGGAGCCTCTGGAACGTGCAGCCCGTGCACTGCAGCCTTAGAGCTGAGCCTCTGGAAGCTGCCACCTCGGTCTGC